AGAATAATATTTAAGGCACATAAAAATTATATGAGTTTGAAGTTTTGATGTCCATATAAAATTTTTTGGAACACAGCCACACTTATTTGTTTGCATAATCTTTGGCGACTCTTGCATTACAATAGTGGCAGAACTGAGTATTATGATAGAGTAGTATCACATGGCCTGCAAAGCATAAAATATTTACTATTTTGCCCTTTACAGAAAGATTTTGCTACCCTCTGCTTTAGAGCTAATATTATAAATTATATCGTATATGATATATATACTTGAAAATGCCTAATATGGTAATGGAAGAACACAACTTTTATTGAAAAAGGAGAATAACACTAGAAATAGATTCTGAAGATACTGTGTAGAATGAACTGAGTCTGTCATTATAAGTTAGCAGCTGGCATTTAAAAAAAAAAAACTAAAGAAAATAAGAAGTGCTTCATACATATTTATTCAATTGATCTCTAAGGCACACTGTGAGACAAATATCATTGTCTCTAGTTTGTAGATGAGAAAACAGACTTTAGAAAATATGTGACTATGCTCTGGAGAATAATGTGTTCAAAAGTAGAAGGTGGTAGAGAAACACCATTGAGTGTGAATATTTTGATCTTTTGTGCACAATAATGCTCATGTTTATTGACATAGTAAGAGACAAAAACTCTAGGCCAGAGTTTCCAGGTCTGCATACTGGTTTTATCACTTACTAACACTAGAATCTTGAGTTAATGACTTAATCTTTTGGACACTCAGTTTCATAATCCATTAAAGTTAGGGTAATAACAAACTTATTTCATAGGGCTGATATGGAGAGTGAAGTTTAAAATATGTAAGATGCCTACAGAATGTCTGACATATATAAATGTTAGCTATTTTTGTTTTTAGCAAGAGGCTTAAAAAAACCAGTTGACATACAATAAAATTTTATTCAGATGGAAGTGACTCAAAAAATATTTGATAGTTATTTATATCTCAGCTCTACTCTATATATCTGGGCAGGAGTGGAGAAAGACTGACAGTCAACAATAATGTCAGATTCCATTTATCTGATTTGTCTCAAGCTTTCTTTCTTTGCTTATCCTGCACACAATTATCCAATAAGGAATTTTTGCTCAGAATTCGGAAATATCAAGTATTCTTTAAGTCCTATTTTGAAACTTTCATAGTGATTCAAATTGATTAATAACATATAATAAATCATCCACAGAAGCACTAAAAGTCTTCAGTACAAGTGTCAGTCAGTAATTTAATGCTTTTCTGATGCTGTTGTTCCTCGTGTGGGAGAGTCAGAATTCACTAGAACTTTCAAAGTTATAAACTATGGCCCAACTTTTGTCCCTTATCTTGTCGGAAGTCAACATCTGGTGATTATAATTCACCATGTGAGTTGAGATGTTATTAAGGAAATTGAGTGCAACCGATGAGATTCCAGCCTGTGACAGGGTCAGCCTTGGTGTTATCCAATAATCAACTCTGTTCCCTGCATGGCAGGTGGGTAGCAGTTGCAATTACTGTCATTTTGTATCTGGAGAAACTTAAGACAGAAGGGTTAAGTGACTTCCTTAAGGTCATATTGGAAATCAGTGGCATTCCAAGGAACAAAACTTAGAATACACATAATTAGATCCCTTCTTGAATAATTTGAACATTTTTGTGAGCAGAGTGAATAATTTTTCATTATATGCCAGTGTATACTTAAAATTATTTATTAGATCCAGATTTGTGGATTAATTATCTTTGAGACAAAGACCATAAGAAGAGATCCTATTTGAATCTAACTATATCTATTATTATTTGAAAGTTTAAACACTTCTTTTAATGAAAATGGAAAGAATGGTAATAATCAGTAGTCAAAATGGAGAACATTCATTTCAGCTTTTGAGCTCGTTCAATGGGTTAGTAGCTGATAATATACTTAATGGGCTTTCTTGCTATTGATTTCAGACATAAGTGAGCTGTGTCGTCATTTATGTGCCTTGCTATATGCCAGCAGTAGTAAGAGTTGTTTTTATTTTAATAGGCCACATTTTCTAAGAAAAGAAACTACAAACTGTATTCTTATTCTAAGGAAGAGACACCTGTATAGCTCATCAATTAAAAGCCTATTCTTAGGGGTGCCTGGGTGGTTCAGTTAGTTTAGCATCTGACTTCATTCAGCTCAGGTCATTATCTCCCGGTACGTAAGTTTGAGACGTGCATTGGGCTCTCTGATGTCTGCACAGAGGCCTCTTCAGATCCTCTGTCACCCTCTCTCTCTGCCCCTCCCTGCTCATTCTTTCTCTCTTCCTCTCTCTCTCTCAAAAATAAATAAATGTTAAAAATTTTAAAAAGCCTATTCCTATGAGGTTAATTTAACTCTTCAAATAAAATAGTGCAAGAATGCAAGTTTTAAGTGCTAGATATGTGAATATATTTTGATAATTTTCTTACTGAATATGAGATAGCCATCATTTACTGCGCATTCAGTGTGTGTCATACATTATCCTAAGGAATTTAGAGGAAGCTTCAAATTAGAAAGTGTCATTGTTTATTTTCATGACTAGGTTAGAACTGAAGAATGGATAATTAACACTGAGATTTCACAGACACCAAGTTATTTTAGACCCTGGGTTAGTGTGATACTAAATAGATAATAAATGACAGATACTTGATATTGATTCTTTCATTATTTTGGGGAGAGTTTCCATTGAAATTCTTGTAACTACTTCATTCATTTATCTAAGCATTTTTGCTCTTATACACTATTGATTTAATAAAGAATATTCCAACTATTTTGAGTCTAGTGTTCAGAACATTTCAAAGGTTTTTGAGGTGATTTCTTCTTATTTCCCCATGTAGAGGTGTCTTAGAGACACATCTGGGAGAAAATAGGTATTATAAACATCACATATTCTGTAAGAATAATCTAATAAGTAAAATTTACTTAAATGATTTATCTTTTTTTTAATACAAATAGTTTATTGTTAAGTTGGTTTCCATATAACACCCAGTGCTCACCCCCACAAGTGCCCTCCTCCATGACTATACTCCCTCCCCCCACACACCAATCAGTCCTCAGTTTGTTCTCAGCATTCAAGGGTCTCTCATGGTTTGCCTCTCTCCCTTTCCCCCACCATTTCCCCCTTCTTCTCCCCCATGGTCCTCCGTTAAGTTCCTCCTAATCCTCCTATACATGCAAATATATGGTAGCTGTCCTTCTCTGCCTGACTTATTTCGCAGAGCATAACACCCTCAAGGTCCATCCATGTTGCTAGACATGGCCAGATTTCATTCTTTCTCATTGCCATATAGTATTCCATCGTATAAATAAATCACATCTTCTTGATGCATTCGTCCATTGATGGACACTTAGGCTCTTTCCATGTTGTGGCTTTTTTTTTTTTTGAGTTGAATTTTTTTTAACTTTACAAATAGTTTATTGTCAAGTTTTTTTCCATATAACACCCAGTGCTCATCCCCACAAGTGCCCCCCTCTGAGCCCTTCCCCCTCCCCCCCCACATCCATCTTTTTTAACTACCCTCTCTGAGACTCATGGACTTGTTCTATTAGAATATATATGGATTTTTTTGAGAGTGTGATTGCCCAGACTGTCATGTGAAATTTTATGGCCTTGATTCTATCGAATAACTTTTACTTCAAAATTCTTTTTTATCTGACAGATAGCTATAGGTCCCAGATTCTAATGCTGTGAATATGGTGGTTTAGGAGTAGAGACACTATTCTACTCATCCCACATTTCAAATTGCAAGTGAAAATGCAAATTGTGTACTGTACAAAATTTGACATATCCAAAGAATAGTACTATGCCAACACATCAAGTGTACTGCTCATGGGAGAAGAGCACCTCAAAACTCAGGATGCTAACTGGTGAGGGCTGCCTTCGTAAACCTTGCCAATAACATTTTTACTCTTCGTTCAAAATAGGTTTTATATATATGTACATTTGAATGTGTATAGAATGACAAAATACACATATACATCCTTATAATTTTAAATATGTGCTTATCTAATACATATGATTTATAAATGTATACTATTATTATTTACCAGTATATATTCAATGTTTGCATAAGGATCTATCTGAATGTATATACATACAAGGATAAATAGACATCATAATGTCAATAGGCATTTCAAGATAATTTTGTTATACTTTTACTTTTTGAAGCATACTCTGACAAAATAAAATAAAGCATATCTTTGAGGAACCTGGGTGGCACAGTCAGTTGAGCATCTGACTCTTGATCTTGGCTCAGGTCATGATCTCACTGTTCATGAGATTGAGCCCTGGGTCAGGCTCTGTACTGACAGCATGAAACCTGCTCTGGATTCTCTCTTCCTCTCTCTCTGCCCTTCCCATGCTTATGCTCTCTGTCTCTCTCTGAAAATAAATAAATAAGCTTTAAATAAATAAATAAAGTATATGCTTTTCTAACATATGAGATGCATTATATTAAATGAAAATTAATTTGAAGTGGTATTGTATCAGAAATCTGAGAAATCTCAGAGCACCTGAATGGTTCAGTCAGTTAAGCATATGACTTTGGCTCAGGTCACGATCTCAGGGTTCACTAGTTGGAGCCCTACATTGGACTGTATGCTGACAGCTCAAAGCTTGGAGCTTGCTTTAGATTCTGCGTCTTCCTCTCTCTCTGCCCCTCCCCTGCTCATGCTATGTATCTCAAAAATAAATAAGCATTTAAAACTAAGAAAAAAAAACAAATTTGAGAAAGCTCACATTTATATTAAGGAGTAGATTTAAATATGTCAGACACTAAATTATACATTGTCATTCTCAAATTTAATGCTGTAAAACAAACATTCATAATTTAAGAAATTTTTCATATGAAAAATTAAGCCTGGAAAGTTTTGATTATATCACTTAAAAAATGACATCTCTGTTTTTGAATGAACAAGTTTAAGAATATCCTATAATGACCACTTCTGCCTAAAATGCTCTTTGATATAGTGGAATGCTTATAAATCTAATTATCATATGTTTTAGGCTAAGATGACTCAGTTGCCTGAGGCTGAAAAGGAAAAGATTGCTGAGCAGGTTGCTGATTTCAAGAAAGTAAAGAGTAAACTGGATGCTGAGATTGAAATATGGGATGATACAAGCAATGATATCATTGTTCTGGCCAAGAAGATGTGTATGATTATGATGGAGATGACAGACTTCACAAGGTAATTATGTGGAAAATGATGCACATCATTTACAATGGGCAGAAACATTTGTCAAAGTAGTAAAACCTAAGTTTCTCTAAGTGACAGGTGCTTAAAACCAAGTGGTGGAAGGAACACAAATAAAATAGAATTAGAAAGTTGTAGGTGTGTAGGTCTAGAGGTTTTGGTAAATAAGTATGTCAAAGTTTCTCATAAACTGCCACAAAATGATTTTAGAAATCTCTTTACACCTTCTCACTGTAGGAATCTTCTCTATGTATATTAGCATATTATTTTACAAAGAAATTGGTAAATGAAATTATGATCTCGGTTGGAGTTCTCTGAATATTTGCTTTCCATAGCTTCCTAATTTTAGTTGTAGTGATTTATGTATCATCAAGATTTGTGGTATCTTTTCTACTGAGAAATCAAATGAATATATTTTAAATCACAGTGACTTAATGAAATACATGAAAGAATAATACATTGTGTGTAAATTCCAGAAGGAATAAAATATTATAGCTTGAAAATATTATTTTATAGAACTAGACAAAGAGCAGTAAAATAATATAGTTCTTGCCTTACCTGTTACTAAAATATACAAAACTACAATTATGCTAATTTAGTGTTGGTGTAATTATAAATGCCACAGAAAGAATACGTTGAAACACACCTGGTATACTCATTTATACCACCATACATTATGCACAAATTAAATTTTGGATGGAGTAATAAATGTAAGTTTAAAATCATAACAAGGGGAAAATGTACATAAATCCTTTATTTATATTAATATTGAGAAAGGCTTTCTAAGCATTTGATAAAAAAGAACTTGTAGAAAAAGGATTATTTAATTGAACTAATTTAAAAATTCTGTAGATCAGTAGAATGTCCTCAATAACACTGAAAAATAAATGGATAATTGAGTAAACATTTGTAACAAAAAAATATGATGTTTATATGTAAAGAATACTTAAAACATTATAAAGAATAAAGACCCAAATATCCTAGAAGAATGAACAAAAGACATGAGCAAGTAATTCAATTTCTCCACATGAAAGATATAACCCATAAATATGTGAATAGTAATTAAACTAAAATAGTTTAAAATAAGGTAACTTTTAAATTTATAAAATTGAACAAAAATTTTAAAATAGGTTTATTACAAGAAAGTTATGGTGATGAAAGTATATGTTGGTGTAAACCTTAATTTGGCAAAATGTATAAATTAAAAACTTTTATAAACTTTGACATTATATATATCTATATCTGTATATTACATATACAGTTTCATAAAGTATGTCTTTTATTTATTTATTTTGGGTATATAGGTAAAGGAAATGAAATAACTATCTTGAGGAGATTTCTGCATTCCCATGTTCATTACAGCATTGTTCACAATAACCAAGATGTGGAAACAATGTTGGTGTCCCTCAAAAGATGAATTAATAAAGAAAATGCAATATCGATGGATGAGTAGATAGGCAGATAGATAGATCTATATATGATGGAATATCTTTCAGCCATAAGAAAGATTAATACTGGATGGTATCACTTACATGTGAAATCTTAGAAAAAAATCAAACTCATAGAAACAGAAATGAATGGTGGGGAGTGGGAGGTAGAGGAAATGGGGAGATGTTAGTCAAATAGCACACACTTTCAGTTGCAAGATGAATAAAATTTGAGTATCTAATATACAGTATGGTGACTATTGTTAATAATAGTGTATTGTATACTTGAAATTGGGAAAGAGTAGATCTTAAGCATTCTCATGCACACACACAAAAAAGATAACTACATGAATTGAAGGATGTATATATTTCCATATACATATATATGTACATGAAAGAGAGAGAAGTATATATATGCATATATATACATTATAATTATTTGCACTACAGAATTAAGACACTTCTTATTGGCCTATTTATCAAAGTAAGATTAAACATTGCTCTTAGCTTACATTCCTTTCCACTATGTGCTGTTTTCCATATAAATCTATGGACACTTTAAACCATGTCTAAACTCTAATTCAACTTTTTATAGGAAATGTTTCCTTCATGTATGTTTTCTACCTAAGTTAGGTATATCAGTGCTATAATAATTAAAATATTATTTATTAATCCTTATTTTCAGAATCAATATGTAACATAACCATGGAGTTTTAATTATTAAGAAGAATATAAATATTAGCTATCTTAACAATGTAAAAGAAAATGCAGTGGAGAGAAGTTGGGTTATGAATAATATATGGAAAAGAGCATTAAGAAGCAGAAGAGTGAATGTGGGTATCTTTCCCTCATACATAGTTGGAAGCCGAGATATAACTAACACATATAAAAAAACTGGTTATGAATAAAATGATACTATCAAGGGTTGTAAATATAAACAATGAAGATATATAAATTCATCAAACTAAGGAGAGGAGGGAGAGAAAAAAAGATGGAGAGTCTTATAAGTGATCTAAATTCTCATCTGTAGGAAAAGTCAATAAATTATATCTTAGAGGAGAAAGTATAATGTTTAGAGGTATGGAGATAATCACAAGAAATAAAATCATACAAAGTTAAAAGTGCCTGCTTTCCCTTCGGAGAGGTAAGGATTGCTTCTCATAAATTGTTATTATTTGATTGGTTCCACCTTGCATCTCTCTGTCTCTTTCATATATACATATATATGTACATATACATATATGTGTCATATATATGTATATGTATATATGAAAATGTACACATATGTCTAGACACATCTTCAGAGGCAAGGGAAACAGAAGTGCAATTGAACTATTGGGACATCATCAAAATAAAATCTTCTGCACAACGAAAGAAACAATCAACAAAACTAAAAGGGAGCCTATGAAATTGGCGAAGATATTTGCAAATGACATATCAGATAAAGAGTTAGTATGCAAAATCTGTAAAGAACTTACCAAACTCAACATCCAAAAAATAAATAATCCAGTGGAGAAACGGGCAGAAAGCATTAGTAGACATTTTTCCCAAGAAGACATCCAGATGGCTAACAGACACATGATAAGATGCTCAACATCACTCATGATCAGAGAAATACAAATCACAACCATGATGAGATACCACCTAATATCTGTCAGAATGGGTAAAATTAACAACATAAGAAACAACAGGTGTTGGTGAGAATCCGGAGAAAAGGGAATCCCCTTGCACTATTGGTGGGAATGCAAACTGGTGCAGCCATTCTCAAAAACAGTATTGAGGTTCCTCAAAAAGTTAAAAATAGAATTACCTATGATTCAGCAATTGTACCCATAGATGTTTACCTAAAGTATACAAAAATATAGATTAAAAGGGTACAAGCACCCCAATGTTTATAGGGGCATTATAAACCATAGGCAAACTGTGGAGAGAGCCCAAATTTCCATCAGGTGGTGATGTGATAAAGAAGATATGGTATATATACAATGGAATATTACTCAGCCATCAAAAAAAGAATGAAATCTTACCATTTGAAATGACATGGATAGAGCCAGTATATTATTCTAAGCAAAATAAATCAGAGAAGGACAATACCATATGATTTCATTCATTCTTAAATGTGGAATTTAAGAAACAAAACAGATGAACAAAAGGAGAAGGAAAGAGGAAAACAAATCTTGAGAACCTCTTAAAAATAGAGAACAAAAACTGAGGGTTGATGGAGGGAGGAGAGTGGGGGAATGGCTAGATGGGGGAGGGGTATTAAAGAAGGCTCTTGTTATGATGAGCACTGAGTGTTGTATATTAGTGATGAATCACTGATTTCTACTTTTGAAACCAATATTTTATTGTATGTTCACTAACTAGAATTTCAATAAAATTTTGAAAAATAAAATGAAGGTTGAAAAGACAGTATAGTTTTGATAATTCTCAGTTTGTGGATATTTTTGTTTGAATAGCTTCACTGAATGGTGAAAGAGAAAAACAGTCTTATTAAAAGAAGTGGATGAGAAATTAACTGATGAAAAATTAAAGGCACTAAACATAGTAACTTAAAGGAGGCAAATAAGACAAGATTTTGAAATTTCTGGAGGGAAAAAGGAAATGGAGAGGGATAGAATGAAATTGTAAAAAGGGAATGAAAAGCTGTAACCATAAAATGAGATAGTGAAGTAGGAGCATAAGCTGTGAGAAATAGGGAAAGCAAGGAAACAAGAAAACAAGAAAGAGGAAGGAAAAAGGAAGAAAAACAGATATGAGGATAAACCTGCATGAATTTAAATAGCTGTTACTTCTAGTCTCAGCTGGAATGTTCCATCATGGAATCCCTTCTTGGCTATCCAATATAAAGATGTCTGTCCCCTCCAAACTTGTCTCTCTGTATCATAAGATCCTGTTACTTTCTTTTTAGCACTTATCACCTCCTGAATCTTTTAGTTTATTTATTTATATATTCCCTGCCTCTATATCCTTAACAGGGTATAAGATGTATAAAAGTATGAAATTTGACTTTATTGCTTTATACCCAGAACTTATAACAACCTCAACAGTATATATGTAAAGAAGCTATATATACTACAATATGCGTACATATAAGTATAAATGACTGTATTTAATATATACTGGTTGAATGGGTTAGGAACTAAAAATAATTTATATTTATTAATAAATTAAAAAGAAAAAATTACAACTTGAATTCAGATGGAACTAAGAATAAACAAACAAAAACTCAAACACACCAGTAAAGTAACATGTTTAAACTCTTGAAATAAACTCTTTTTGATTTTTATTTATTTTTAATTCATTTTATTAATTCAACTATAATCAATATACACTGTTACATTAGTTTTAGGTTTACTATTTAGTGATTCAACAATTCTAACATTGCTCAGTGCTCATCATAATAAGTGTACTCTTAAAAATCATTCTCACCTATTACCCATCCTCCCACCCATCTCAACTCTGATAATTCTTTATAGTTTATTTTCTACATTTTAGAGTTGTGTTCTTGTTTGTATCTTTTCTACTTTGTTTTGTTTCTTAAATTCCACATTTAAGTGAATTCAT